CACCCCCCCCCCCCCCAGTTTTGCTCAATAAACCCAGTTTCTATTTTTGAACATACGTGTCTTTTGTTTGACATTAGGAAGGGGGGCTACGGAGGGGTAAGTGGAAGGATGTGAGGGAGGAATGGGACACAAGCCCCTGGTGGGGAGGCCCGGGGTGGCTCTGAGGGCTCCTCAGGGTGGACGCTCTCCCTCAGGGCCTCCTGGATCCTGACAGCCCCCTGATGGACCCCTCAGATGGCAGCCTGCAGTAAGTGCAGCCGGGCTGATGGCAACGACCCCACGAGATGCACCAGCGTGCCCAGGGGCAGCTCTGGCTCCATGTGGCTGAGTGCTGTGGTGTGGGCACTCAGGGCACTGCAAGCCAGGACTGCTTTGCTGTCCCTCGTCGAGGTAGACAAGCAAGCGGGGAACCCTGAGAATTGTCTGTCCGGGGTGGGGGTCGGGTCCCTTTAAGCACGGAGCTCAGTTAGCCTCAGGCAGCAGCCCCACACACTAAGTCCTAACCTGATGCGCTGCCGGCACTGGTTCCGACCAGCCTTAACTTCGGTTCAGGGTCCACTCAGTGCGGACGCGCTATTTCAAAATAGGTTTTGTGTGTAGATGCGTTATTTCGAATTAGCTTAATTTGAATTAACTATTTCAAATGAAGTTAACTCGAATTAATGCTGTGGTGTGGAAATACCCTGATAGATTATTAAATTCACACAAAGCTAAAGTAAATATACTTTAAGGCCCAGGAATGTGCCCCGCACGTACACACCACAGTCCTCTGTGCACCCCATGGGGCTCAATAGTGCTTCCTTTCTTACGTCCTTCTTTTACATGTTCTTGACTCAATACCTTGCATTTCAGCCTGTAGCCTTCCTGCTTTTGGAACACTAATGCCACTCCTGGCAGACTGATTGGTCCCTAGCGAGTGATATAATGGGAGACTCTCCCTAACCCCCGGGGCTGAGTTCAGTGTGATTGCAATACTGAAAATAAGAGGTCAGGCTCAGAAATAAAAGTCTGATCTTGTGTAAAACAGGCATGGCACAATTAGGTTAATGAGCTGGCCCTGAACCCTGATTGTCAGCAGTTTGTCATTTAAAAAAAAAATCCTAATTTGGACCACTAGAGGGAATCAGTTCCTAATAGGTAGCTGATATCACAAAAAAGGAACGTGACCAAGACTGGGCAACCACAGGCAAGCAAAGCATTAAGGGTATGTCTACACTAGCCCCCTAGATTGATCTAGGGAGGCTAATGAGGGCGACCAGAATTGCAAATCAAGCCTGGGATTTAAATATCTCGCACTTGATTTGCATGTTCCTGGCCGGTCGCCATTTTAGAAATTGACTAGCCTAAAGTAACTGCTCGTGTCTACACACGGCAGCGAAACAGGATTCCGATTTAAAGCCCTAACTCGAATTAGCTGTTATTCCTCCTGCAATGAAGTTTACCAGCTAATTCGAGTTAGGGGCTTTAAATTGGAATCCCGTTTCACTGCTGCGTGTAGACGCGGGCAGTTACTTTGGGCTACTCAATTTCTAAAATGGCGACCAGCCGGGAACATGCAAATCAAGCGCGGGATATTTAAATCCCGGGCTTGATTTGTAATTCTGGTCACCCTAGATCGATCTAGGGGGCTAGTGTAGAAGTACCCTAACATGCTGTGTAAAGTAGAGGTTAAAGAGGGAGAACACCTTTCCGTCCAGATGATAGAGGTCCATCCTGTAGTGATACAAAAATAACATGGGATGCTCCATGCACATGCACCTCACATGGATTTTACAGATTTCCTCCCTATTTTCCTTAGAAATACATTTTTCTTACATGGCCAAATGCCTCTGACAAATTATCACATCAGACATTGATAGCTAAACTCAGCCAACGCCTACTCCATCCTCCTTTATACCCTGATACCCCTAGAACTTTTACTGCCACTTAATTTAAGATGGGTGGACCCCTGCTATAAATTAATCTTCCCCGCCCTGCTCACTACAGGAATCAACAGGCCCAGAGGAGGCCTTACTCAGCCACGTTTGCAGGTTTCTTTAAAGGGAAAGCTAACTCAATTTATAGCTAGATTCACTAATATCAAAGCTTCTAGTGACCACAATCATATCCCAAGTGTAGTTATTTATTCTTTCTAAAATAAATACTTGTTTTCTATTATGGCCTAGATGGCTGGGTCCTTCTTCAATAAAGCCACTGACATTCACTAGGTGAGTGAATTTCAGTCAAGATATGTGTATTTCCTGGAGGTACACACTTATTTTCCAGAGGTACATCAATTCATCTAGCTATTTGCCCTTTTTTACAACAGGCTACAATAAAAGCTCTAGAACAGTCAATACAAGCTAAAATTTCGTACACTTACTGCTTTAGATTGCGCTATATATTATACACTGAAATGAAAGTGCAATGAATT